CAAAGTCACCATCGGAAAGACAGCATTACTGACCTCCCTCCATCAATCTGAAATCAGTGTGCAGATATACTCCACTCCACTCCACTCCACTCAGCACAAAGCGTGAACAACATCCGCATTTTCAACACTAATGTCAGTCAAGTCAGTCAGTCAGTGCTTCTTTCTATGTGATGATTGGGAGAATTGGCGTGTCACCGAAAGCATTTCCAACAAACTGCAGACATATATGATGACATCAACAGCTGTTGCCTACACTCGCTCACTCGATATTGGAGATGAGATGAGATGAGATGAGATGACATGAGATGGCCAGAATAATAATAATGACAATGATAATAAGAGTAAGTAAGTAAGAAGGAAATGTGGCTGCTTGGCTTGTTGGCTAGCTGGCTAACTGGCAACGAAGCAAGAATCCTTCACCCAACAAATATGCAGATAGATTGAGTTGGATTGGATTTGGCATACACTGAGAAAGAAGATGGTTTTGGGATATCATGTATCAGGCCATGTCAGGCCAGGTGAGGGCAGGCCGTCGAGTGGAACCGAAATGGGAAACGAGGAGTTGGGTGTCCGTGACGAGGGTGATATGGAGGAGATGGTGTGGGGAAGAAATGAGTTTATGGGAAGTGGTGGAACCAGGTTGGAAAGACTGGAGAGAGGAGAGTGAAATGGTGACATGTTCCACTATAAATCCAAGGGACAAATAATCAAAAGTCACCTTGCGCTTAAATGCTACCATAATCTAACCGACAGTAATAGAAAGGCGCCCACAAAAGTGACCAAATATCCATACACACAGCGATAAGGTAAACCTGAAGTTATCGCAAACCTTTCTGTTCAACGTCATTGGAACATTTACAAATCACACTGAAGAGTAGTAAAATACTGTTATGAAATATCCTCTAAAATAATTACTTACCGTGCAATCATTTTTCCATTCCGAAATCGATGATTGTATACCAGTAATATTCATGTTTTCAATGTTTATGAAATCTAATGATAAAATATGCTTTGTTTTGCCTTGAGAAATGTAGTAATTCCCTGCGTGAGATAAGATACTGTGAAGTGCTCAAGAAATGGTTACTGAAATATGTAACAGTAATATATGTGTTTGATAATTATTTACACGTGAAGTAGATTCAGTGATTATGACAACCGATAAATGGTAGTAATTTGCAAATAAGTTTATCAGTAGTATTGCCTACTTTTATTCTACTCAAATACTACACGAGTGTAACATTATACTGATTATTTGTAGCTGATTCGATTATCACAAAGTTTCATTCTCAGTAAGAAAATATTCGGACTGATAGAAGAAAAGTAGGCTAAGTATGTAAACTACGAAAAAAATAGATTTATATGAATACAATAATGATAGGGGGACGTTTTATTACAGAGATAGGCTCATCAACAAAATCGCTAACATACACATACGGACTGACAGCAGCTAGCTGGTTAGCAAACCAACATTTAGAGATACAATTAATTTGATTCGATCCGTCAAATCATGGGAGGTATATCAGCAGAACCTGAAAATGTCAACTGTCTGTCTTTATCTTCGGGTGTTTGTGCGTACATGCACCATATGTAAGCGCGTTAATCACAAACAAAATATTTGTTTTTCTTCTCACTGCATTTCCCAACCAATGAAAAACAAGTATTAGGTTGACACAACAAGAAAGAAACAATTTGATTGGTTCGCTTCTCGTAACAATTTAGAACGATTCCAGCATTAAACATACATACAACACGCATAGGGTACAATATTTAGCAGGAAATGCGCTTGTCTATAAATATCTTCAAGATAAAAATTATAGAACTGATCATCATCTCATTGGGAGATAAGGCAATAGATTTATTCTGTGAACATACAAACTGAATCTGTTTTGTTTTTCCTTGCTTTTCATCAAAAGTATTAACTTTAAGATATTGGTTAAGAGGAGAAGAAATCAGATCGATTTTCCTCAACTGCTTCCGGTTGTTTTGTTTTTATTCTTTTCGTTGATTTTTCATCGTTTTCTCTAGTCACTTTTTAACATCACTGAATGCAGTAAATGGAAGTTCAATTGACAAAATGAATGTAAAAAAAGGTTATTACCAGTTTGTATCAGGGAACTTCGTTGATTATGTTAGACTATCTGAGATAGCCGGGGTAGAATGAAAATTTCAACTGCGGCACCCAATGGGATTAGAACCAAGTGACAGTAACAGTTGGGAAAAACCCTTAGTCATTGAATTGAAATAAAATTCTGTCCAGCAGTTGAGTATCACAGCTCAGTTGGTAGAACACCGGGTCGGAAACCCGGTGGTCAGTGGTTCGAATCCTACCATGGTTCAGATTTTCATTACATCTCCAACCATTACCCAGTAACTTCATTTATATTAAACATACTGTATACACAGGAAAACAGACGGTTCATTATAATTCATTCTATAAGACTTTCATTTCAATTAAACAATTGTGAAAGTAAATTCCAACTAACTCTAAGAAACCCAAGCCCGTAGCACAAAGAATGGCTATCAATCCAGTGGATAACGGTTTAACGTTTGAAGCGATGGGTTATAGGACTTAGTCTCAATGGGAACTAAGTCACTCACTGAGAGACAGGTGGATAGATGTACTCCACTGACGAGTCCCAAGTAGGACGAAGCGTGTATACTGGATTCTACCGCTCTCTACCATGCATGATTTATATGAAAACTGTGAAGGCTAATGTTTTCAATGTACAATAGTCACTGAATCTGTTTTAAATTTTCAGTGTGCTGTAAATTTTATCTGCGTTAAATATAAATCCTATTGATGATGAGTACAATTGTAACGAGCAACTTTTGAGAAGTTAACGACTAACCTGTAAGTAAATTATAGCAAGTATGAATAATTTATAGGTTCAGTAGCGGTACTTCTTTCAGTCAGTACAGGAATTCAGAGGATAGAACAGGAGAAATACATGGATGTACTAATATTTAAGGATCAAAGTTCATCAAAGGTAAGGTAGTCCAATCTCCAGATTAAAAATACAAATGGATTAGGTAAGGTTTCGAAATGTATTACTAAAACAGTTAGAAGTAGGAGATAAAAAGAAATGTTCCACTAGGAACCCAAGGGACAAATAATAATAAACAACTGTAATGAATGATTCGATTCACAGTTAGTCATTCCGTCTCTTACTATCAGTAGTATACTTTCGTCCCAACTGGGGCTCGTCAACTGTATTTACTTACACCCCAGTGAGTGATGTTGTCCTCAGTGAGACCTAAACCCACTATCCATAGATTCAAACGCCAGAGCGTTATCCACTAGGTCATTGGGGTACCAGAGACACCGCTTGTGCAATGAGTGTCAATTACCATTATTATTACTTGTTGATACTTGTAATTTCCCATTGTTATTCTGGATCAAGTCGACCGACCAGTAAATCAATAAATAAGAGTAGCTCACCCCAATGGGTTAAATTGTTCAAACAGCCCTTAAACTGCTTCACTGGTTGGATGAACTAGGAATTCAGTCGTAGTCTAAACACTATGCTTTAAAATTCAAGTAATGCAATAAAAGTACTTCCATTTAACTGCCAAGCCCTTTACAATGGAGTGACTTCAACAGTGACTCTAAAGCCCACCTTAGCGACAGCTGAAAATAGCTAATCAGGTTTCCCTGTTATAACTGGAATGGTGGTTGTTTTATAAAATGAAGAAAGCTCATATTGCTTATTTGGCTGACTCTAGAGGGGGGTTTTAAAGGCCACCCTAGCAACGACCTGAATAACCAATTGTTTCTTCATTTCGTCTTGAAAGGAAAATTTGGATACAATAGAGAAATCATATTAGTTATTTCACTTGTTACTAAGGTGGTCTTTAAAGTCACCTATTATAAAAACCATCGCAACAACAACTGAAGTAATCAATAGGGCTTCATTATTTGATAAAAATCTGCTTTTCCAATATAAATAGTGAAATCTGACTGGCTATTTCAGTAGCTTCCAGGGTGGTCTTTAATATCACTCTTATTATGATTGGAAATAACTTTTTGGAAGAGAGTACACTGTGAACAATTCTATGGGTAACATACTGATAACTGTATAGTGAGTGGAGAGTATCTTACGGAGATTCAGTCGAATCAATACAGATGAAAACATGAGTACATCACTTTTTCGAAATTTTTAGCATTCATTGTACATTTTCATCGTCAATGAATTTTCTCACAATTTTGCACAATTTGATAGAAACGTAGAAATGATAAGATCAGAGTGTCATATTTTAGTGAATTTTTTTTTGAGGGGGGGGGGGGCTGAACAGATTCTTGACATGTTCAGCCGATCTACATGATGATTATCCTCACATTTGACGATAAATAGCCGGTTATGGAAATCGATATTTCAGCCTGTCTGTCTATCTTGATGTAGAACACACTTCAATGTAACACACTGCTTGCTGTAAAATAATATAAGTGTTGTAGGATATTTGTAACTAAGGCTGTAGATTATGGTGATTTAGTTGGTTATGTCTAGCGCCGGAATCCAGGACACGCATTTCGTCCTATTTGGGACTTGTCAGCCGGATTTACCCGCACCCCAGTGAGCGATGTTATTTCCACCGAGACTCCAAACACGGTGGGAACAACTTCACTCACTGTGGTGCAGGTACATCCAGCTAACAGGTCCCAAATAGGACGAAACGCGCGTCCTGGATTCTTCTGCTATCCACACTCAACCAAATTATCATAATTAACATTCAGGCAGTATCGAGGCATCCGCCTAGGAGCCCATATGCCAATAGAGCTCGAACAATTCGATCCAATGAAACAACGGAGAATCGCAAGTACATTCATAAATAGTAATTAGGCTTTAGATGTTCAAATTGTGAGTTATTCAAAAGGCAGCAAAGTGCTGTTGCACTGATGACGATAACGATGTCTAGCATGACATCAGTTATCACCAGTTAATTATATTTGCTTGACGTAGATATAAAGTACTTGAATTTTGTGTCACAAGCAAGGCGTTATAATGCAAATATACCGAACAAAACATTTTGATCCTTCTGCCGATCAATGCATTGATTTGAATTCTATCTTTGTGGGCATCCCTTTAAATGGAGGAATAAATGAACAAATAATTGAAATGGAAAAAGTTAGGCTATTCAACAACGTCTCTCATTCCTATCACTCCTTTACTAACGAGACAATCGTTTATGTAATGCTAAGCAATTGTTTTACAAATGTTTATAACACCTGGTGAATGTAGTGGGAAGATCTCTAACTTCATCACATCTAGTGATAAATGTTTCAAACTCTTTGAAAAGCAATTTGAAGCTTTTCATAGTAGTAGAGGTTGCATGCTAATGTGTGACAGGTATAGAGTATCCTCCTAACTAACAATGCTGACGCCGTATTGTCCTTATACCACTAGCCCAATAATGCATCAATAGAATTTAATCACTGTGGTAGAGTTTCATTCCACATTAGGTTATTTATAGAGCATAAGAGACAGCGACATATTAGTAACTAGTCTCGAAAAAACTTCAGTTCCCTCTACTACTACTACTACTACTACTACTACTACTACTACTACTACTACTACTACTACTACGACTACTACTACTACTACTACTACTACTACTACTACTACTACTACTACTACTACTACTACTACTACTACTACTGCTGCTGCTACTACTACTACTACTACTACTACTACTACTACTACTCACACTACTACTACTACTACTACTACTACTACTCACACTACTACTCACACTACTACTACTACTACTACCACTACTAATACTACTACTACTACTCACACTACTACTACTACTACTACTCACACTACTACTACTACTACTACTACTACTACTCACACTACTACTACTACTACTACTCACACTACTACTACTACTACTCACACTACTACTACTACTACTCACACTACTACTACTACTACTCACACTACTACTACTACTACTACTACTACTACTCACACTACTACTACTACTACTACTACTACTACTAATACTACTGTAGTGGGCTCTGGTGATCAGAACGAAGATCAGCAGTAAATGCTGAGAGGTCGGCAGAAATCACAGGCAATTACCAAAAATGGGTAAAGATTCTGTTTACAGCAACTCAATAAACAATGTAAGCGTATTAAAAGCAAATAGAGATAGAAGCAGAAGAGGAAATGAAGCACACTGTACAAATGACTGTCTAGTGGAAAGTGTACAATATTTGATGACTACTGTTCAAGATGTCAATAGTAAACATTCTTTCCTGCGTCTCAGTCTTCCTCCCACACTATTATTATTATTATTATTATTATTATTATTATTATTATTATTATTATTATTTGGGTAGTAGTTCGGTGGAGGCCTGAACTTCCATGGGGGTCAAAGTTGATTCATCCATGGAAGTCAATCTATTCTCTCGTTAAAACAATAAAGAATCACTTGTGTTTCTGAAATTAACAAGTTTACGCATTTGCTAGCTTCTGCATTATGATCAGAGGTGAAACGGTTTTTGGAGTATGCCAATAGTGATCAATAACCAAGTATTTATGCGTTTAATCTAACCAGTATGATAGCGCAGTCGAAGTGAAAGTTGCTTGGGAGTAACGCTTTTACTGGTCCTTTATAGAACACTGAACCATAATCATCCTCATCTGGAGGGATAAATTCCTTCTGTGACCAGTTAAACTTTGAGAATTGGTCTGCATCTCCTAAAACTTGGGGTTTTACCTTATCGATTGGTGCCAGTAATCGGAAAATTTACCATTGTATGCAATTTCTGGTTACTGATCATCATCCATTTCCACGTAGCAGCAGTAGTGTGAGTAGTAGTAGTAGTAGTAGTAGTAGTAGTAGTAGTAGTATACCCAGTATCTATTTAGCGGTATAAAATCACCGACTAACAAAACTCATCTAGTTTTCTGTCACTAGGACTCACACTGGTTTTCAGACTTGTTTATTCTGAGAAAACTGTCCTAAATACTAGATAGGCATTTCACTTATTGCCGAATGGTTCTGTAATTGGTATACCTCGGACAAATTCAGCTTACTGAGAATTGGAATTATTCAGATTAATTAAATCTGATTAACTGACTCCAGTGGATGAATGTTTGATGTTTAAATTATTTGCAAACTTCACTATCCACCTAAAGATATACGTTGCTTGGAAAAATCTTCAGATCATTATGAGTAGTTTCTTACTACTCATGATGTTCGGTAGTATATTTCACTACTACATGTTATTGTATTATCAGAGGTCATAATCTGTGGTCTTTAGAGCGTGTTTTCCAAAGAAAACCTTGTTGACACCACAAATAGCTAAATCACAGGGTTAATTAAATATTGCTACAGATAGTGCAATTACAAACTGATCATTCATCTTATTTTAGAGCAAAGATAAACATTATATTAGCTAAACATTGGACATTGAACAGAATAAATTTGAATTCTAAAAATAGACTAATGTTCAGTGAAAACAAGTTAGTAACCAAAATCTATCGCTAATTATCGATCAAAATTATAGATTCAATCATATAACACTATTTTCCAATTCAAATGAGGATTAAATACGAATCTAAAGTTTGTGAATAGGATTAATCAGGAATTTATTGATTTTGTGCAGATTATACAGCTATCATAAAATGAGATTTCTTTTTTAAGACTTTTTCGAATTGAATTTAAACTGTTTGGGTATCATTGAATAGAAAGATAGATAGATATAGGGACAAGGAGATAGACAGACAGACAGAAAGGGAATCATAAGGGATACAAACCGAAGATCGTTCTTGTGATGATAATGATAATGATGATGGATTGCCTATTTCAAATCTTTTTTATATAGAAATGAAAATTGAAAACTTTTTCTTTTTCATCTTGTCCAGTAACCTTCATCATTCTGATTTCTTGTTCAAAACTCGCTTCTACTGCTGCTGTTACTGTTGTTATGTTACACTCACACAGACGCCCTCATGGACGTGGATGCACACACACACACACACGCATACACATACGTTTATATATATACATACGGAAACACCACAACGTACACAAGTACACAGGGTAACATGAGCTGACCTCGACGCATCAGTAGCGTAAAAATGCGGGTTTTTAAATTTTAGATAGCAGACGTCAACAGACCACGCTATTTAGATCATACGACATGATAAAAAGGCAGAAGAGAAATGAGAAGTATATTCCCTTGAATTAAGAGCCAACTATTTTTATCTATATCGTTGTTACCACTAATACCACTAGTAATAGTAATAATAATGGTATTTATATAATCATGAGCAGTGGTCATTAATTTGAAAAAAAATATTCATGTGTCCAACCATACACATTTGTGTAGTCACAGCGGTCAGTTTGACACAGTAGACTCATCATAATGATGAATATTTGGACAGCCCGCAGAAACAAAATTATAACTTTGACAAAATTCAAACTAGGGTCAGATTATCAGTAAAGATCAAAACTGAATTTTATAATTCCTAAGTGTGTAGAAGTGTAACACTACATGTATGTGTGCGTATGTCTGGAAACTGGACACAGTAGATATAGTTTTTCTAATTGTCAGACTACTACATACAAATCAATCAGCCTCCTGATTGCATTTCATTGGAAGACAGGCAGTGATTACCTCATAACCACTTAAACAAATGAACTCAATAAACCAATTAACTTAACGTACCGTGAATCCCATTTATGCATACTAAATCACCAATATGCTTAGTTGGGGGCAAAGGAAATGCTTACATGAATGGACAAATTCTTGCAGATAGGTCATTGAAGAGTGATTAATGATACCACATATGATACTGAGAGGTAACTGGAGTTCGTTACCTGTTTTGACTACCTGACCTCTGACTTGATTGAAACCAAACTAGAATGTAGGATTTTAAGAGTGAGATGTCTAAGTTGGGTTTCATGCTTACTGACACCCATCAGCTCGACAAATTTGTAATCTTTAGGGAATTTGTGTTTTGGTATGGGGTGGAAGTCATGCTACCCAGCATTATAGTAAGTTATTATTTACTTCATTATGCGAGAGGAGCAGTCTGGCGAAGCCCTTGTTAACTGAAATGAAACTGAGATCTGGTCACTAGTGGGATTGGAAACCTGGCAGTGACTGGTTTGAGTCATACCCTGGTCCAGATTTTCATTTCACCTTCAATCATCACCCAGAATCAATACAAGTCTGCCAAACCATGGCAGAATTGATTTGGTGCTAATCAACTCTCTGTATGCTCTCATCTCTGATATCCAGTAGGATTGAAAAGGGAACAAGAACACCCAAGAGTAATTGTTGCATTTATGTACATGAACTACTCGCTTTTACTGTGAATGACGATCTATGTATATGGTATATAGGTGGATTATAACGAAATTTCGGTATGAAAAATCTTAAAGATAGTTGAACTGAACCGAAATATCAATATATCCCCTGACTATCAGTTAGAAATCGTTGCTACAATGTAACACAAATATACTACTATCAACTAGTGAACACTGGAACAGTAATTTTCAGATCCCACCCTTGATATTCTCTCGATTCCTCGGAAATAAAAAAAGGCAGTAAGACAAAAGAAGGTGTATTGTGAAGTTAATTACGCGAAAGAATACTAATGTCTTTTAATGTTTACAGTGAAGTAAATTATTTCCGAACTTTTCCAGAAGAGTGGTTTCTATCGATCCTTTCTAACTATCCCATCCGACATTTACACGTACGAATGTGTGTTGGCTTATTTTATGGATTTCGCGTTCTTTTGAAAGATGAATACGATAATACAATCCATCATAAACAATTTCACCGAGTCGAAGGCTTACACAAAAAGTCCAAAGACTTTTGCTTCAATAGTATCTTAAGACTGTTTAGATTATGATATACATCGTGGTGGTTAGCGATCAAATCCGAAAGGTACATATTATCCAAATTGGAACTCGTTAGTCGGATGTACATGCACCTCAGTGGGTGGTGGTATTCCCACTGAAACTTTAATATAGCACACTACACGTGTCCTGCATTTCACTGCTAGCTACCACCAAGGAAATTACACAAAAATGAAACTTGAAACAATATCGAGGCATCTTTTCAAAATGTCCTCATGTCAACAGAGACTAATCAGTTCGATTGAGTATAGTAACCAACGGGAAATAATAAACACCAAGAAGTTGTCATAACTAGTGGGTAGCACTGTAATGTTGAAAGCAGTCGGTCTCGAGTTGGAGTTTTAGTGTGGAAAGCATTGCTCACTAAGAGGCAGGTGGACTCAGCTGACGAGTACCAAATAAGGTGAAACATGCGTCTTGGATTCCCCTGCTAGTCACTATTCGTCACTGATATATAATTTAAACAGGGGGAATATCGAGGCATCCGTGCAGGAGCCAATAAGCCAATAAAGACGGATCAATTTGGTCCCGTCAGTGACGGAATCATACAAGTACTAGCATAAAAATATTCAAAAATGTGTATAAGAGAAGATAAGGAACAGAGCAGCCGAGACCCAGCACAATATGTGCCATGTTTTCGGTCTTAAAGTAGTTTTCATCACGGAAAGACATTATTTTGAGAACTATGGAGAACTTAGGAGAACTAGACAGCTGTTTTAATCCTGGTATGGAACTTTTCTATGGAGTATTCCTACAGCGCTATGAGGGGTTCAACTCAAGACCAGCAGGTTAGTTGTGGGATCAGACCTAGTTAGGAAAACGGCTAACTAATTCACCTTACAACATGACTTAAAATATTTCTAATCATATTGACTACAGAGGGATAGAGATACTGGATAGATTCATGAGGTTATGGGTGTGTATTGATGAAGCATTGTAAAACAGGTCGAAAACACTTTTCATCGCTTCGCAACTGTTCTCTTAGGGATATCGGTCCAAGGTGAAACTACCTTGGACTAGTACACAAGGATAAAAGCTTTTTTCTAACACTTACCAACATATCTCACCCACAGAAGAGCGGCGACTCATGAATATCTCTTAGGGAACAGGTGTACTAAGTTTCCATATACTGTTTCATTTATGACTATTCATCATGACCCCTGAAAGTA